TGTTCCAGTGTGTTTATTTTATGTGTAAAATATTGATATCACAAGTATATGGTTTTTTTTTTTTTTTTCATATCACTTGCATTTTTGCCTGAGCTTTAATAATTATGCTTTTGATGACAAAATGCAATATACTTTTTTAAATTTTTTTTCTCTCTGTCTTTCCTGTCACTTTTGGTGTAACTGTTTGCTGATAAAAATGGACGGAGATCGTTTTGAAGAATAGAAGCTACTCTCACAGAAATTTTTGCATGATCGGTATTTTTTTGCGCCCTTTTTCTGCTTAAAATATGCATTTTTATGAATGGCGGGCACGACAGATTGTTAATAAATTGACGGGTCCCTCTCCTTACTGGGACTGAAACTTTTCATTCGAATCCGGCAATGGAAGAACTGATCCTTCTGTAGTTTATTGCTTCTTTTCGATGATTATTATTTGTCGCCTGCCTAATTTGTCTGAAGGAAGAAACCATCATCAACAACCGTGCCATTAATTTAGTTCTAGTTAACAAAGTGCTATTACTCGGGCCACTTTGAGTGTCACCATCTTTCGTAGCGAGTGAAATATGGGAGAAGTTTTGACTTTTGAGGTTTCAGTTATGAATTTTAAGATGAAACATCTTAAGTAAACGAGTTTGATATTTGTTAGCTCCAAAACTGTGACGAAGTCACGCTGCGGCTAAAACGGTCGTACTGAGTTCAAAATAGTTTGTAAACAAATCGAAAATCCTAGATGGAATCAGGATAGTGGAAAAATGCGAAAAAAGTATACATACTGCCCGGACAGTCAATTCGAGAATCCTATCTTGGCGGTATTACTGGGATTTATTCCCATATGCCAGGCACAGCTACGCCAGATCCTTCGATCCTGAATTTTGAATACGTCCAGCTAGTATCCACCGGGCAGTATGTACGCTATTCTAAAATTTTGAAAATTTGCCAGTTTGTTTAGCCTTGTTTTTTTTCCAATTTCTTTCAGCTACTTATAAATTATTATTTCTTTGATTCTTGTCAATTACGTGTAGTTTCGATGGGTTGCTTACTTAAGATGTGTGTATGTTTTTGTACATTGTCACATAATTTTCATGGTACTTCTCATTTGCCTGTTGACAGTTTGTGCCTGTGAAAATTTGTCTTAATCTGGCTGGCTCACTTATTTTACGCGGCTTATTAGTTAATCAGCGGGGATCGCTCGCGGGAATTGTCTTTGTTTTAAACTGATTTCCAGTTGTTAAAATCAGCCTCGAGGCTCCGTAATATGGATTTTGGCAATATCACAAGCCTGAATGCTATTTATTAAGTCTATTTTTCCTACCAGCGAATTTTTGACAGTGGCGAAAAGCTTCCTCTCTATTCTCGTTGCCATCAACGGTCCGGCGATAGCTCAAATAAAGATTAGACACCAACATGGGGCACCGGAACATC